TTTTTTGAGACTGGATCTTGCTTTTTCACCCAGACTGGAGTGCAGTGGTGTGATCACAACTCACTGCAGCTTCAACCTCCTGTGTTTAGGTGATCCTTCTGCTTTAGCCTCCCGTGTAGCTGGGACCACAGGCATGTGCCATCATGCCTGGCTAGTTTTTTTATTTTTTGTAGAGACAAGGTCTCATTTTGTTGCCCAGGCTGGCCTTGAACTCCTGGGCTCAAGCAATCCTCCTGGTTTGGCCTCCCAAAGTGCTGGAATCACAGGCGTGAGCCACCGTGCCCCCCAGTGTTATCCTTCCTACGGTCCCTTAGAGACCCTTGACTACCCACCCTTGGCCACCTCCTGTCTCCATGTTTCGTGTACCCAAGGCCTCTTGCTTCAGGCTTTGGGCTAGTTTGGCACTGGAACCGCTTCCTTCTTGCCCACTGACCACAGCTTGTCCACCCAGTGATCTGAAGTCAGCTGGGCAGCAGTATTTGTTTAGTCCTAGCTCTGTGCTAGGAGCCCAACTGGGCATAGTAGTAACACAGAAGAGAGACAGAAGGGACAGCCCATGTGCTTTATATTATTTTAGAGAAGAATGGGAGGAAAAAAGGTAAAAACCAAAATTATGCCAAGTTAAAGTTTAGAAGAATTCAGGCCAAATGCCCCCGTTTTATTGATTCCAGGGACTGATTTATCAGGCAGGGAAGGGCCTGATCTTTCTATCAGATCAGCGCAACAGAAAGAGTGTGGCACTGGCCAGGGGGCGCGGAGGGCATGGCCCTGGTAAATGTGTGTGTGTGTGGCATTTGACAATATACAGAGCGTGCTCCCAACCCAAGAAGGGGTGAGCAGTATATTCATGGGCTTCTGGCCATACCCCTGGGCTGAGTACTGGACCTACGTTGTCTCCCTTGTTCCTTGCACTTGCCCCTTCAAAGAAAGCTTGGAGGGACAAAGAAGCTTGCTGCCAGGAGGCGGAGATACAGCCAGGATGTGAGCTCAGGTCTGTGGATCACAGTCCCCAGCTTGGACCGCAGTGCTTTAGAGGAAGGAGGCAAGGTCCTGCTGTCCGTGTTCACAGCTGAAGAACCAGGCTCTGAGAGGCCTTGTGACTTCCCTGAACGCAGGGCCTGGGAGGTTCCTAAAAGAAGCTTCCCAGGAGCTCATTACTGTCAGGAGCCTCCGGTGGGAAAAGCAGCTCACACCAGTGACACCTATGATGATGGTGCCCAGGCGCTAGTGTTTGTGGGTACCTGAGGGAGGAGAAAAACAAGTGGCGAAGCTCAGACGGAAAGGACACCGGAAGCAAGAGCTGAGGCTGTGACAGTAACTGTTATTTTTCCTTTTTTTAGGTTGCACAGAAAAAGGGAGTGAGAAATCTTTCTGCTCTTGATCCAGAGGTCCTGTCCGTTTTTGTGCCTCCTTTTGTCAGCAAAGAGGACAGTCTAATGGCCGGCGCAAACTGCAGCACTCTCGGTAAAACCAGGAGGCGCTCCTTCAGAAAGAAGCGAGAGAAGCCCAGGCCAGAGCAGTGGAAGGGCCCGTCGGGGCCCCCCAGAGTGCCAGAGCCTGAGGATGTCACCGTCCCGGGTGGCGTGGACCTCCTTGCCCTGCCCCAGCTGTGCTTCCCAGGTATGTCTAGGAGGTGGGCAGAACTGGGTGCCTCCTGCTGCCAGCTGCCCAGGGCGGTCTCTTCCCAGAAACCCTCAGGCAAAGGGAAGTGGTGTGAACAGCGAGCCAGGGACCCCTCACTGCCTCCTCTTGAGTGGCATTTCGTTTTCTTAATCTTGGGGATTTTTGTTTTTTTTGAGACAGTCTGACACTGTCACCCAGGCTGGAGTGCAGTGGGACAATCTTTGCTCACTTTAACCTCTGCCTCCTGGGTTCAGGTGACTCTCCTGCCTCAGTCTCCCGAGTAGCTGGGACTACAGGCGCCCACCACCACGCCTGGCTAATTTCTGTGTGTTTAGTAGAAATGGGGTTTCACCATGTTGGCCAGGCTGGTCTCGAACTCTTGGCCTCAAGTGACCCACCTGCCTTGGCCTCCCAAAGTGCTGGGATTATAGGTGTGAGCCACCATGCCCCGCCTATCTTCAGGATTTTAAAGCTGAAGGGAAATGTAAATCATTTATTGCGGTCTCTGAGTTTTGGAGAATTGAGTCCTGGGTGGGAGGCTGTGTAGACTGCCAGGTCAAACCATTTTTCATGATGCATTCAAGGCTTTTCCCCTTTGACCGAAAATGAAGTCTTGCAGCAGTTGGCAGATGGGTTAAAAATACACCCAGTCCATCTGCAGTGGTTCCACCCCCAGCATGCCTGAGCCTCCCCCTCCCCATCCCATTTGCCGTTTCACTGGGGCAAGAAGCAGACCTGCGTTTAGTCCCCAGGTTCACCGGTTGCAGTTAACAGGCAAGCTTGCCTTTTGGGGCTTTTTTTTTCTGGGGTCTTCAGGAGTGTTGAAATGGCCGAGATAGAAAACTCAGACAAAGCACCAAGCATAAGCACCCACCTCATGGTTCCTACCTAGAACTTGGTGCTATTTCCTGGTCACAGGGATTATAAACCCGGGACAGGCACGGGATGGACAGCAGTGCCAGCAAACACTGCCACCGGCTAGCGGGTGCTCAAGGACTTGTGAAAAAATCGCTGTGTGGGAGGGACAGTGGGGAGAGCTGGCGGGAGGCGTGGTCAGAAGCATGAACACACCCTGGACATTAAGGTACCGCTATTGATACCTGGAGGGGTGTGTTCTGACGCTGTGAAGAAATCAGTACATGGGTAACCCAGGCCACATGGCAAGAACAGGATTCTTCTCTCTCTTTCTGCCTGCAGGGGGTGTGTGCATGGCCACCGAGCCCAAGGAGGACCGCGTCCACTTCCTGGTGCTGACCGACATCTGCGGGAACAGGACCTACGGCGTGGTGGCCCAGTACTACCGGCCCCTGCACGTAGGTGGTTCCTGTTCCTCCCTCTGAAACTGGGTTTAGATTTTTATTGTGGTGGAATAAACATAACACAACATTCAGCATTCTAGCCATTTTAAAGTGTGCCTTTCAGTAACATGAAGTACATTCACAGTGTTGTGCAACCACCACTGATGTCTAGCTCCAAAACGACTTCCTCACCCCAAAACCCCGAAAATCCCACAGTAAACCCTCAGTCCTGCTTTCCCTCCCTGCCTGGCAATGGCTAAGCTAATCTGCTTTTTTTTTTTTCTTTTGAGATGGAGTCTCGCTCTCTCGCCCAGGCTAAAGTGCATTGGCGCAATTTTGGCTCATCACTGCAACCTCCGCCTCATAGGTTCAAGTGATTCTCCTGCTTCAGCCTCCAGAGTAGCGGGATTATAGGCACCCACCACCATGCCCAGCTCATTTTTGTGTTCTTAGTAGAGACAGGGTTTCATCACGTTGGCCAGGCTGGTCTTGAACTCCTGACCTCAGGTGATCCACCTGCGTTGTCCTCCCAAAGTGCTGGGATTACAGGCGTGAGCCACTACACCCAGCCAGCTAATCTCCTTTCTGTCTCTGGATGTATCCTGGACAGCTCATGTAGTGGACGCATGCAACACGCGGCCTGATGTGTCTGGCTTCTTTCCCTTCACGTGTTTTTGATGCTCGTCCGCATGGGAGTGCTTGGCGATGCTCCGTGACCTTTAATGGCGAATGACATTCCATCGTGTGGATGGACCACACTTTGTCTCTCCATGTATCTGCTGATGGACCTGTGGTTGTTCCGGCCTTTTGTCTTTTGTGTGAGTGACTGGTGTTTAGACTCTGCCACACATTACGTTTGTCACACATTGGGAGTGTTGTCTGGGTAGGGCCGTGTGTGTGAATCAGCAGGCCTTTGGGAGCTTGTAGGGGAAATGAGGTATCCACAGGGGCGGGGTGACCAGCTACACACTTCCAGAGGGGTTCCCGAAGCAAAAGGCTAGCCAGAGCCTTAGTTGAAGCGTCCTGGTGCCATGAAGGGAAGTCTGTGAGTTCTGTGCAGTCGAGAGAAGTGGCTGGCCTGGGTGGCCCTGGAGCCCGGGGCACGCGTTTTCTCTGTTGGTAGAAGCATGCTTACAGGTGTGACATTGAGTGTTGGGAGGTGTGAGGTGTAATCCCAGGGATTCTGTCCCTGTGAGCTCATGGGGCAACACAAACAGGCCCGGATGTTCTTAATGAATATGCAGGAGCAAAACTTACTACGTGATCCTCTGAATGCTACATTTCCTGGAGAGGTCATTTTCACGGTGTGCCGAGATCAGAACCGAGGTCGGATCTCAGGCGGTGCACGCAGGGGACCAGCGTCCGCCTTTGTGACCTGGCTGCTGGTGGCGCCTGGCCTTCCTTCCTGGGTTATGTTAACGGGAGATGAGAGGAAGGTGGAGATCTTGCCCCTCCACCTAGCCAGTATTCCAGACAAGAAAGGATCTGAAATGTTGGATCTTTCAGAAAAGCAGGTTGGGAGTTTGCCTGTGAAATAACACTTACCAGGAGTAATGTGCATGTTGTTCTTGTTATCATTAAATAGAATACATGTTAAAAGAAAGGAACAGCCCCGCTGGTTTGCATTAGTACAGCAGATGTCACTGTCTCCAGTGTGCCGGCCTGTCGTGAGCATGCCGGCCTCCTTCTGCCCTCCCAGCAGCTGTGTAGTTTCAGGGTATCTCCAGGCCCCGCCGTGCTCACCTCCCCTTCTTCACATGTACCCGGATGACCTCCATATCTATTGTTCTTTCTTTTTTTTTTATCAGACAGTCTTGCTCTTTCGCCCAGGCTGGAGTGCAGCGGTGCAATCACAGCTCACTGCAGCCTTGATCTCCAGGGCTAGCTCAAGTGATTCTCCCACCTCAGCCTCCTGAGTAGCTGGAACCACAGGTGTACGCCACCATGCCCAGCTAATTTTTCTTGTCTTTAGTAGAGATGAGGTCTTGCTATGTTCCCCATGCTAATCTTGAACTGCTGGGCTCAAGCAGTCCCGCCTCAGCCACCGAAAGTGTTGGGATGACAGGCGTGAGCTCCATGCCCAGCCCTCAGCTGTCGTTCTATTGATAACACAGCCGTAGCCTTCTCATAGACTCTCTCCTCTGCCTTTCCACCGACACCACGTGACTTGAGGGAGGGAACAGTACTGTCTGGGTAGCTCCAGTCCTCTCGGGCTACGGTAACAATAGCAGCAGCCCTGCGTGTGAGCAGCTCAGCAGCAGGCGTGACACAAGCACTTTATGTAGTCATTCATTTAATCCTAACTACAACAAATGAGGCTAGGAAATTACAGATGAGGAAATGGTGGCAGAGGGAGGTTAAAAACCCACCTGAGTTGGCTCAGCAGGCAGGGCTGGAACTCCAGTAGACTGACCCTGGAAAAGTGGATGTTTATTACATTTTGCTAGATAAACAAATGATGTAGCTGACTATTCCCTGGATGGCTCCCTTTACCTGGGTGTCTCCTAAGTACCCTAAATTCAGAAGGTTCCCAAGCTGGAGCTGTCATCATGCCCTTCCATCCCTACAAAAAAACCCAAACTAACAACACGTCCCCGGGGCCCAGTTGATGAGCCCCAAGTATTTTGCCACTTGTAAGTTCTGTAGTGTGCTGGGCTTTCTAGAACCCTGTGGCTGTGGCCCCACACAAGCTGAGGCCCTCCTGCTCTGTCCTGGGCACGTGCAGGTGCTGCGTGCTGTGTGTGGCTCCTGCGTTTTCCCTTTGTAAAGCAGAGTCCTTTGTGTGTCTTGGGTCTCACTGTGTTCTCATCATGCATTCCTTCTTATGCCAAGGCTGTCGGCTTTTCTGGGGCAGGAATGCATCTTGCTCTCTGTGTAGCCTCAGCACCTCAAATGGTGCAAGCACCCACTAGGGACCCCAGAGACTTCGGCCGGAGGGCTGGTGCTTGGACCGGCAGCCAAACCAGTGGGGAGTGTGGCCAGGTGCGTTGCAGTGGGGAGGATGGCGGATTCTCAGCTTGTTCTGTGCTGAAACATGACCCAATTGGAAACAGATACTGGAATTGCCAAGGTGGGGAGGTGACAATGTCACTGTTGCTTTTCACATAGGATGAGTACTGTTTCTACAATGGGAAAACACACTGGGAGCCGTCCCGGCCGGTCATGGGTGCTGCTGGCTGCTTCCTGCCCTTCGCGGTGTGTGTGGTCTCCAGGTTCCCCTATTACAACTCCCTCAAGGACTGCCTCTCCTGGTGAGCCGGGTCACTGGGGGCTGGGGGTGGTGGGGGGCAGCCCTCTGTGCCTCTCCTGGTGAGCCGGGTCACTGGGGGCTGGGGGTGGTGGGGGGCAGCCCTCTGTGCCTCTCCTGGAGAGCTGGGGGACCAGAGGCCAGGGGTGTTGGGGAGCAGCTTTCTGTGCCTCTCCTGGAGAGCTGGGGGACCAGGGGCCAGGGGTATTGGCAGGGGAGCTCTCTGTGCCTCCTAGGCTGCTGCTTAAGGCTCTGGGCAGTGGGCAGGGGCGTGTGGCAGCAGGCGCTCCTCTCTGTGACTGGTAACATATGGTAATGGCATGGTAGGAAAGGGGTAAAGCCACACTGCCGGAAGTAAGGTTGATGTGCAGGATTTTCATTTTGTTTAGGTTTTCACAAAGAGGCATATATCAGGAAAAACTCGTTTCCTAGGTGAGAATATTAGGTGGCTGCTGCTTTTTCCAGTCAGTTTTATTGATCTTTAAAAGATGACCTTGGCTCGACGTGGTGGCTTACACCTGTAATCCCAGCATAGTGGGAGGTTGAGATGGGAGGATTGCTTGAGCCCAGGGATTTGAGACCAGCCTGAGAAACATGGCAGTACCCTTTCTCTAAAAAACAATTTAAAAACTAGCTAAGCATAGTGGTGCGTGCCTGTAGTCCCAGCTACTGGGGAGGCTGAGGCAGGAGGATAGCTTGAGCCTAGGAGTTCAAGGCTGCAGTGAGCTGTGATTGCATCACCACACTCTAGCCTGGGTGACAGATCAAGACCCTGTCATCTATTTTTGTAGAATCTGTTACTGTCTCCCTGCTGATCGTGCATAGAAAGGCTAAGGACGTAAATAACTTTTGAAAAATCAGAAAGACATCGTGTAGAGCCTAATGGGTTCTCGTTATCAGAGGATGCTTTTGTGACACTGGGGGCTGTAGCTAGAGTTGGAACGTGGTCAGTCCCAGTGGGCACTCGTGCACAGAGGCTTTTCTTTTGAGTCTCATAGAGTCATAGTCTTAGAATTTGTACTTGTTTGATTAAAGACCGAGGAGAAAGCAGTTAACAACAGTTCCCTCTTGTGTCATCATCCTGGAGAGTGTGCCATGGAAATCGCTCAGCTGGTGCTATTCTGTTTCTTGCAAAGCACCACCATTTGAGACCTTGTGTCTTGACCAGAGGGATGAGCCCCGTGGAGTCTGAGCAGGAACCTTACTGTTCAAATCAATGACTCGTAATTCAAATTCCGGCACTTCAGTGGCTTACTTCTTAAAATATAACTGGCTTTTGGACATAGTTTGGGTCTAGCCTACATTTTATTGCCATAGATATAAAGTATCTTTAACAGAGAGCTGACTCAGCTGTAGTCAGTGAGCAGGTGAACTGAGCATCTGCATGTTTGTTGAATGTCTGCCGCCAGCGCCCAGGAAGTGGCAGAATGGTAAACCTGGACACTGCCCCCATTTATTTACTAACTGGTGATCTTCATTACTTGAAGGTCAACAACGTTTTCACTAATCTCTAGTTTCCTCTTCTGTAAAATGGCGATGGTTATTTTTACCTTTAGTTAAGTGAACTGAATGGGTGGTGGCCAGACAGCTGCGCTTGGAAGACAGGCAGAAAGGAGGTGTTTGCTTCACCTCCTGCTTGAAGTTATGTGTGTTTATTCAGCAGTTGACCTTTCATAGTGTGACTGGCAGCAGATATCCTCCTGGTAGACATTAAGGAAACACATACTTCACCTGAAAAATGTGTTCATTTTCATGCTTCTTGAGTTTTCTTTCTTTTTCAGCGCCCATTGCCGTGTGATCAGAAATAGAAGGGGCAAAATGCAGAAACAGAATGCAGCTAAAAGGGGCAAATAACAGAAATTCAAATTGCAGTGTGACAACATGAATTTGTAGTTTTAAATTGGTTCTGTTAGCGTGATAATATGCAAAATATGTCTCCACATGGACAAAAATTGGGCAAGAACGTATTTGTGTTTTGGGAATCAGAGTATGGGCGGTTGCTTTTTAATTTTTAATTTAAATATTTTTTTGAGAGACAAGGCCTCACTGTCACTCAGGCTGCTCACTGCATCCTCAGACTCCTGGGCTCATGTGATCCTCCCAGTTCCGTCTCCCAAGTAGCAGGGAGAACAGGCGCACACCACCACACTAGGATAATTTTTGTAGAGACGGGGATCTCACTCTTTTGCCAGGGCTGGTCTTGAACTCCCGGCCTCAAGTGATTTTCCCGCCTCAGACTCCCAAGGTGCTACTGGTGTGAGCCACTGCACCTATGCCTTTTATATTTTAAATTGTACACAGTACTTTAAAAGTCAGAGTGCATTTTGGAAACAGACTTTCTAAAGCACTTTCCTTCCAGGTGTTTGTTCTTTTATTCCTTACCGAGGTATAACATACATACAGAAAAATGCACGAATTCCAGTGATTTTTCGCAAATTGAACACACACATGTAACTAGCACCCAGACAAGGAAACAGACCATGACCAGGCCTCCCCCTCCAAAAATAAACCTCCCCTTGTGCCACCTTTCAGGTGCTCCTGCCAACCTGGGGCCACTTTGCTGTGGTCCAACACCTTGATGACTCTGCTTTAGATGAAAGGTCCTGGAGTTGCAGACACAGAGCCTGGGAGATTCCAGTGTGATTAGAAATGCTAAGGATGACAGCTGGGTTCTCATTTTTATTTTGTGGTTTGATTTTTGTTTTTGTAAATTTCAGTTTATTGACTCATCTGAAGCTTTGTAAAGATTTTGAAGTCGACAATGCTATAAAGGATTTTGCTGCGAAACTATCTTTAATACCCAGTCCGCCGCCTGGACCGCTCCATTTGGTAAAGTAGACCTGCAGTTATGTTGTTTTTTCTTTGCAAATAGTGAAAGTAAGATGTTGAAGGCAATGTAAATGTTTAAAACGATTTCTGAAGTTCTAGCTGTAAATCTAAAATAAAATCCTAAGCCCCAACCCCCTACAGCTGGCTGACTGGACCCCCCTTTGGCCAAGGGGCCCCCAGAGAATCCTGAAAAACAGAATTACTGGCCAGAACGGAAAGGAGGTCAGACACTCCCAGTTATACCCTCTCTCTTTTGCATGAGTGTATGGGGTGTTTGTGCATAGGATTGTAAACCAAAACTAAAATCCTACGCCCCCCTATTGACTGAACAGGTTCCTTCCTGGCCAAGGGGACCCTAGAAAAACTTTAAAAATTAAATTCCCGGCCATGACAGGAAGGAAGATCAGACATGCCTTGTTATGCTCCCTGCCTTTTGGAGTTTAGGCACAGCTGATCAGCGTTAGGTTAAAATGGAGATTCTCCCTGGGCGTGGTGGCTCACACCAATAATCCCAGCACTTTGGGAGGCCAAGGTGGGTGGATCACGAGGTCAGGAATTCGAGACTAGTCTGGCCAACGTAGTGAAACCCCGTCTCTACTAAAAATACAAAACATTAGCCGGGTGTGGTGGTATGTGCCTGTAATCCCAGCTACTTGGGAGGCTGAGGCAGGAGAATCTCGTGGACCCAGGAGGCAGAGGTTGCAGTGAGCTGGGATCGCACCATTGCACTACTCCAGCCTGGGCAACAGTGCCAAACTCTGTCCATCTCAAAAAAAAAAAGGAGATCCTAAGACCGACAGAACAGACTCTCTGTGGCCCTAAGATTCCAAACTATGAAGAAAACCTAAGGCCACACAAAGTTAGCATTAAGTCTCTCCCTACAAAGCATAAGCGCTCCTTAAACAGGGTATAATGTGGCTACTTTCCACCCTGACTCTGCTATAGCATCCCATGGCAGATACCAGACCCTGAAGGAAATAAAAATATTTTACCGCAAAATATGTTTCTTGGACATATTTTGAAAGGACACTGCAAAGCTGTCTTCTGTGGGGAATATTTGCATCTGTAGAGAATCTACTGATGCAGCCAGGCCTGCCGTTCTAGGCCTTTCCCAGATCTAGGAGAGATGAACTGAGAGGTCGACACCTTTAAAGTCTGAAAAGGGACATTCACCATCTGTTCTCCCTGAGGGCTGCCATCTGCAAGTCTTCATTTATGTAACAAGGCATTGGCCCCACGCCCCTTATCTTGACCCCGGCATTCTTGCCTACTGCTTTCAGGTCTTTAAATAGTAGCTCAGCTTTCTCAACCCATTGTCAGGAATCCCTAAAACCCACCTGTGACTTATACCTCCCTCCTCTTGGAGATGTCCCGCCTTTTTGGGACAAAGGAACATGCACTTTCCGTGTACTGATGTATGTCTTTGCCGGTGACTCCTGTCTCTGTACAATGTGTAAAGCCAAACTGTAACCTGGCCATGTGGGGACCACTTACTTGTGACCTCTTTAGAGTGTTCCCTAGGCCATGGCCACTCAGAACAAACCCCTTTAAAATATTTTATAGAGTTTTGTTTTTCCATTAACACTGTATTTCAGTTATGTTTCTCAAGGTTCTTATGGAAACATACACTGTTTCTGAGGGTGAGAAGTTAAATATTTAGACGTGAGTTTTGCTGAGTGGCATGTGGTAAACAGAGCTGGTAATATGTTGTGGCACATCAGTTCATGGCTCCCTGTGCAGATAATACGTGGAAACCTGAATCCTTCTGTATACGAATTTATTCAAATTACAGATTTCTCTTTTGTTTATTTATTTATTTATTTATTTATTTTTTTTTTTTGAGACGGAGTCTTGCTCTGTTGCTCAGGCTGGAGTGCAGTGGTGAGATCTTGGCTCGCTGTAAACTCTGCCTCCTGGGTGTAAGCAATTCTCTTGCCTCAGCTTCCTGAGTAGCTGGAACTACAGGCGCGTGCCACCACACCCAGCTAATTTTTTGTGTTTTTAATAGAGAAGGGGTGTCACCATGTTGGTGAGGATGGTCTCCATCTCCTGACCTTGTGATCCGACCGCGTCGGCCTCTCAAAGTGCTGGGATTGCGGGTGTGAGCCACTGCCCAGCCTGGATATTGTATTTTGTTTGTTGGTGTCTTCTCTTGTACAGTGTGATTAATGAGAAGTAACTGGTTTTATATTTTTGTTACTCTTAGAGGTAGCACTGTGTTAGCAAACGTTTCGCAGGCTGGCTTTTTTCTGAGAGATGTTTTTGGCGATTTCAAGACACAGGGTTTGGGGTTTAGGGAAGCTAGAGATGTGGCTGACCGCCTTCCCCTTTTGTTCGTTGAGAAACATGTCAGGCTGCTCAGCTATGTGAAGAAACCCGTTTGACTCAGCATCTTCCAAACTAATTTTAACCGTACTTAGGATGCTGTTTTTATTTTTTCCTTTAATAGACACCTGTCAAACGTCACAAAATGTTTAGTAACTGTCGATTCAGTTTCATTGTGTTAGTCTTCTGGAAGATTATACATATTAATCTTGATCTTCTACATTTTTCTTTACTGACAATTGAAAAAATAAGTTTATCTTATCAGAAGACACACCATCATGAACTTAAAATGTGCATTTTACCGTGATCCCACCCCTAGCAGTCTGCTGGGTGGAAAATCCTGCCAGTGCATTCCAGTCCAGATGCAGAGCAGGCCGCCGGGGGTGTCAGTTCTGCTCCCAGAGGCCTTTGTGGGGAATGTTTATTGGCCGCGTGTTTTATGTACCTCTTTTATGTGGATAGTTGACATTTTCTTGTCAACAGTATGTGCTGTGAAATCACCAAAGTTTATGTTCTTGTTCTATAAACTCAGCAAGTATTTACCGAGGGCTATGTGAACAGAACCAAACTTCTGACTTCAGAACAGTTTCAGGGTGAGCAGCAATGTGCCACACTTAGTCTTTGAACATAAGGAATGCGTGCATAGCACTCCCAGTGTTTTTCTGTGTCTCCCGAGCTGATGACTCTTGTCTCCTGTATCTCGATGCGCCTGTGAGGAAGCTCACTGAGGGTCACTGTTGGCCTCCTCTCCCCTCTCCCTTTCCGTCACTCAGCCTGGCTGACTGCCTTCATCATTGATTTCCAGTTTGTCCATTTCCTTGCTGCCACTTCATTCTGGGTCACCAGCTGCTCCCACCTGTGTGACTTGGGAACCACGGGTCTGTCTGGTTCAGTTCATTGTTGACCGTTCCATTTGCCCTCTGCACATTCGCTGCAGAGATTGTTATAATGTAAACATTGGGGCCAGGCTTGGTGGCTCATGCCTGTAATCCCAGCACTTTGGGAGGCTGAGGCAGACGGATCACCTGAGGTCAGGAATTCAAGACCAGCCTGGCCAACATGGTGAAACTCTGTCTCTACTAAAAAAATACAAAAGTTAGATGGGCGCAGCCAAGATTTCGCCATTGCACTCCAGCCTGGGAGACAGAGCAAGACTCTGTCTCCAAAAAAAAAAAAAAAAAAAGTATATACACACACACACACACACATTGGGGTTTGCTTCTCTTCCCCAAGCCCCAGAGCAGTTTCTCGCTGTTTGTCTTCCTCAGCCCTGCAGCCTGGACCCTGTCTCACTGCCCAGCTCTGTTTTGTTGTTGTTGTTTTTTGAGACGGAGTCTCACTCTGTTGCCAGGCTGGAGTGCAGTGGTGCGATCTTGGCTCACTGCACACTCCAACTCCGTGGTTGAAGTGATTCTCCTGACTCAGCCTCCCAAGTAGCTGGGATTACAGGCATGCGCCACCACGCCCAGCTAAATTTTGTATTTTTAGTAGAGATGGGGTTTTACCATGTTGGCCAGGATAGTCTTGATCTACTGACCTCGTGTTCCGCCTGCCTTGGCCTCCCATGGTGCTGGGATTACAGGCATGAGCCACCGCGCCCGGCCTGTCCAGCGCTGTTTTATGCTGCCCCCTGGTATGCTGATCTCCAGCCTCACTGGACTCCTGTCTGTTCCCTGAAGATGCCAGCACAGGGCCCTTGCACACACTGTTCCCAGAAACACTGTTTCCACCGTTTTCTTGTGGCCAGCTGTGGCTCATCTCTGGTCACTCTCAGTGGTCAGGTCTTCCGATTGTCTTCTCTGGGTGATCCCATCTCTCTGATAGCACCCAGTTCTCATCCCGCAGGCACAGCGCAGTTTGTAATGAGGGCTTCTGTGCATGTGTTTTTGTTTAATGTTTGCTCCTCCATCAGACTCTCAGCTGCATGAAGGTAGAGACCACACTCAGCACCGCATATCTAGGGCTCACAGCCAGGCCCGCACAGAGTTGCCCAGGAGAGAGCTGTACAGTGGGCAGTGTGGGCAGGGATGCTCTGGGTTCCAGCATTAGCCAGTCAGTGCCCACTGATCTGTGTCCCGTGTGTTTGTCTGAATGAGTGACTTAGTCTGTATCAGGCGTGACTCAGTGTGGCTCTCCCACACCAAGTCTAATTAGCTACTGACTTTAAGTTGGTATAATGCTTGGGATCTATTTTAGGGAATGTCATATATTAATGTTTACCATTTTGAATAAATCCAAGAGGTCAATGTAGGCCAAGGTTCTCATCTGACGCAGGAGCCAACGCAGTCGTATTTTCTAGAACCCACTGCAAACTAAGGTAGCTTAGAGGCTGTCGTAGAGAGCAGTCGTGAGATGGGTCTTGTGTTTTGAATGTGTGTGTGTTTCCCGTTACTTCTAGTCTGGGTTCTCTCTGATCTATGCTGGTGAAAAGGAGGGAGGAGGGAAGGGGCCCCACAGCACAGGGAGTAGAGGAGAGGGCCGTGCCCTGTGCCTTGCTTCCCTGGTTCCCGTTCAGCCCCCTTCCTCGGATGGTGCATGGACTACCAGCTGGAGCCTGGCGAGGACTGGAAACAGCCCCAGCCTGCACTGACCTGCCTTCTGGGGCTGATTTTACCTGCTTTGCAAATCTTGGGCTTAATTGTGTGTGCAAAATGACACACACACACACACACACACACACACACAGGCTTCTCTTGCACTGTACCCGAGTCATTTTCTGTGTTGCTTTGTATGTTACACCCGTTCTTTCCTGGGGCTCAAATCAAGCTGAGATCTGGAAACTGTTTACCTTAAACATCTCTCTCCTCAGTCCCTTCGTCTGTGGAGTGGGTGACATAACAACCCACTTCAGAGAGTGTGAATATTACACGCTGGAAAATCTCTAGCGTGCACCCGAGACCACCCAAAGGCTGGTGGAGTTCTTAGCATTTGTGTGTGTGTTTTTTTTTTTTTTTTTATCATTAATTGGATAGCTGGTTGACACATTTATTTTTTGAAATATTGAAAATATTTCCTATAAACTTGAAAATTATTAATACTGTGCCCCAACTTGGATAATTTAACTTTCTTTTCTTTTCTTTTACATAAAAGAACCTTATTCACATAAATGAATCTGCCTTATTTTCAACGTGTCTTGCTTCTGTACACAAATTGGTAACAAGAAAGCAAAGAGACCTAAGCACAGTGGGTCCTCAGTGTGGCAGGCAGGTTCTCAGAAACTGCAGCATTTACTGGGTCACAAAATCGATTTCACCATAGACTAATTGATACAGACGAGAGCAAGTTCCTCTGGCATACTACTGGTCATAAAAACATCAGCAGACTTCTAAATAAAGACCCAAAGCACTTCTGATATTAAACACTGAAGTAAATGGGAGCTGTACACACATTTAAGAACAATGAATTAAAATAAGGAAGAACATCATTTACCTGCTTATTGCAGTTCAGGGCTGAGGGTGGACAGTGCTTAGTGCCTCAGTGGGAACCAGCTCTGGGCAGATGCTATCCCGTGGCAGGGCAGTCCCAAGCTCTCCCATGCTTGCTCACACCAGGACCAGTCCGCGTGCCGGCTGGGCTTCAGGATGTGGCAGGAAACCAGAGGACCTGGAGCTGGGCACGGGCATGGGCACGGGCACGGGCACGAGGAGACTGTGAAGGTGCCCCCTGCTGGGACACAATTCCTTTTTCTCATCAACATTATCACAAAATGATGTTATTCAAGGACCTGTGTCTTGCTAGGAAGCAACACTGGTGTCCCCACCACCAAGAAATTACCACCTTTTCTTGTTTTCAGTTTCTTGTGTGCATATGTGCTTAGAATACGGACTTGGGTGACTGGGAGCAGGCAGGGGCACTAGAGACCTTGTTTGTGACCTGTTTTTCCACCCTGGCTCCCGTTCCTCTTGGTTTCTCACCGTCCCAGGCGCTCCCTTGATGGAGTCTCAGCCGTCTGCTCTGATCGCGTCTCTCCTCTCTGTCTCCCTGTGCTTTGCTTACACTTAGATCCGTCCATTCTGTTCATTTCCTGGAGCTTCGGGTGCCGGGCCAGGCACCCACATTTCCTGAGGGCCTCCCACGTGCCAGCACCCGGGTGGCAGGAACCCGCTGTTTGCAGCCCATCCATGGCAGGCTCGGAAGCCCTCCCTCAGTGAAGGAACTGAACCTCCTCTGGACTCCCTCCGCCAGGTCCAGCCGCATCTCAGTAGCCATTCTGTGAATGCAGAATTCGAATTGAAGTGTGAATTCAAAGTAGTATATTTAGAAAAATGTCTTTCTTAAAATTTTAAATGTACATGTCTTGAAGGAGCTTTGACTATTAAATTGAAAGTATTAAGAGAGTTTGTAGCATACAGTAACTAAGAATATATAATACCTGAGAATAATTTGAACATGCTTGATTTAGAATTGGTGTTAATTGGTACAAATATCTGGTCTGTAGTTTATCTCTGTCTAGACAATGAATAGTTTGCTGATTAGAGTTTAAGGAATTTTGGCTTTCTTAGAAAAAGACATTAAGTACTTAATTTACGTTTGAGCCTTTATCTGCAGTTCTGTGTATCTCTAAACTGTTTAGTTATTCTGCATAATTTAACGTGGCAGCCTGTGTCTTCAGAAATGTTTTCTAGCCCTGATGCCTTCGGTGTGGAAATAGTGACTTGAGTGCATTTCAGCCTCTGCCCGGAGCAGCTGTCTGAACTAATGCTGGGAACTGGCTGTCGCAGGTTTTTAACATGAAGCCGCTCCAGATTGTGTTTCCCGCCCGCGCGGACCCGGAGAGCCCTGTCCTGGACCTGGACCTTCACCTGCCCTTGCTGTGCTTCCGGCCGGAGAAGGTGCTGCAGGTGCGCGCCCCCGCCCCCACGAGCTTAGTGGGGCCTCAGAGTGATGATCAGGGACGATGAAAGAGCGAGTTTCTTCCACAGTGTACCCACCGGTATACTCGAAATGTTTATTACTATTTTTTAAAGCCAGCGTTCCCTACAGTGCCTGGTATTTGCAAATGGCAGTCTTTGCGGGGTCTCAGGTGGCTTTTGTTTGGCAGATAGAGCTGAGAGACCAGGGAAGAGCTAGCTGTGCTGGGTTGTGTGTTTATGAGCATTTTCTCTGGACTGCACTGAATCGGAAGTGTGTATGTGGGCCGGGCGCGATGGCACATGCCTCTAATCCCAGCACTTTGGGAGGCTGAAGTGGAAGAATTGCTTGAGGCCAGGAGTTTGAGACCAGCCTGAGCGACACAGGGAGACCCGGTCTCTACAAAAAAATTTTTAAATCTAGCTGGATATGGAGGCACGTTCCTGTAGTCCCAGATACTTGGGAGGCCAAGGTGGGAGGATTGAGCCCAGGAGTTCACGGCTGCAGTGAGCTGTGATCATACCTCTGCACCCCAGCCTGGGCAACACAGTGAGACCCTGTCTGTATTTTTTGTTTTTTAAAAGTGTGCACTCAGTGTGGTGGGTTCTCCCCTCAGATCCTGACGTGCATCCTGATGGAACAGCGGATCGTATTCTTCTCCTCGGACTGGGCTCTGCTGACGCTGGTCGCCGAGTGCTTCATGGCCTACCTGCACCCCCTGCAGTGGCAGCACCCCTTCGTGCCCATCCTGTCGGACCAGATGCTGGATTTCGTCATGGCCCCCACGTCCTTCCTCATGGGCTGCCATCTTGACCACTTCGAAGAAGTCAGCAAGGTTAGGTCGAGAACTGTTGGTTTGGAATGCTAAATTCCTGTGAGTCCATCACGGGGACACATGGGAAGAATGGGAAGATGTGTCTGAAAGTGCTCTGTGGTGAAGGCGGGGTCTGCGCGCCACAGCAAGGTCACGGGCACCATGAGAAGTGGCTGTTCGCTTGCTGTGTCATCGTCCTGTGGTGAAGCCGGGACCCCTTAGCATCCCAGTAGAGACAAGACAGTGAGTGTGGTCACCTCATTGTCCCAGTGAGGACCGAGTGGGGCGGTCGCCAGCGCCAGGCCTGAAGTAGGTTGTCGTGGGTGGTGCTGTCGCGACTCCTCTGCCGGCCTGACGTGGCATGTTCTCCATTGGTGAGTGGATGGAATCGTGCTAAGTCTTGTCAAGATGCCAGCAGGCGGACTGGGTTTGGTTTTTAAAAATAGTTTTATTGAGATACAATTTACATACCTCAAAGTTTACCCAATTAAAATACATGATTTGGTGGATTTTAGGATATTTATAGAGTCGTGTAACCATCTGCTGTCTGATTTTAGAAGGAAATTTTTGTCACCCCATAAAAGTACACTGTACACATCAGCAGTCAACCCCCAGCACTGGCAGCCACGCCTGTGCGCCTCGTCTCTGGGTTTGCGGTTCTGGACCTTTCGTGGGAGCAGTCTCTCCATGCATGGTCCTTCTCACGTCATGGTTGAGACACTCCTCCACACCGGAGCACACATTATTTTTATCGCTGACTAGGGTTTCACTGTAGACCGAATTTTGTTCTTCCACGCACAATGAGGTTGTCGTGATAAATTCCTCATCACAGTGTTCAGTGATGGCGTGTGGGTTGTTTGCACTTTTGGCTGCTGTGATTAATGCTGCTGTGGACATTTGTGTGCAGGTTTTTGTGTGGATGTGTGCCTCCATTTCCCTCTGGTGTGTCCCTAGGAATGGAATTGCTGGGTCATAAGGCAGCTCTTTGTTTAACCCTTTGAGGAACTGCTAGGCTGTTTTTGCGAAGTGGCCACGCCGTTTCACTCCCACCAGCAGTACGAGGGATCCAGCTTCCGCTCACGTCCTTGCCAGCGCTGGCTGTTGTCTCCTTTTAATTGCAGCCCTCCAGTGAGGAGGAGCTGGTGTCTCGCTGCGGTTTCACGTGCATTTCCCCGGATATGAGCATCTTTTCCTGTGCTTAGTGGTGCTTTGTACAGGGTAGGTGTACATACAGCTTTCCATTTTGAAAATTATCTTTCATTTTTTTTGAGATAGACTCTCTCTCTGTTCCCTACACTGGAGTGCAATGGTGTGATCTCAGCGCACTGCAACCTCTGCCTCCCAGGCTCAAGCAGTTCTCCTGTCGCAGCCTCCCCAGTAGCTGGGATTACAGGTGCACGCCACCACACCTGGCTAATTTTTGTATTTTTAGTAGAGATGGGGATTCACCATGTTGCCCTGGCTGCTGTTGAACTCCTGGCCTCAAGTGATCCACCCACCTCGGCCTCCCAAAGTGCTGGGATTACAATCGTGAGCCACTGTGCCCCTCCCCGTTTTGAAAATTTCTAAATGTGATAAAAATAGAAGAATACAGCATGTGACCTGCGCCCTCACAGTCCTCAGCCTGTTGCCAGCTTTGTAGTCACCCGCAGCACTACTTTTCCCAGGGCATTTGAAAGCAAATCCCAGGCTCCAGATGCTTCCCCCACAAGTGCTGGGAAGGGCTGTCAGCTGGCCTGGTCAGGGTTCCCACCGCGGTGTAGAACAGCGCTTGTGTGTTCCTGCCCAGGCAAGTGAGTCAGTGGGGAAACACACAGGAAAAGGCCATGCAGACCTCCACGGAAGGAGCGGAAAAGCGTCACCAGCCCGCCTTGCAGACGAGGAGAAACTGAGCTGTGTTCTGAAGCTCAAAGTTGTTTCTTTTCTTAGTCATTAGGGGAAAAAAAATTATGTTTCAGGCTGTTTTAGGAGGAAAACCGTTTTCACACGTTAACCTAGCAGTTCCAGCCAACGGGGAGATGTTGTGGAGGATTTCGGGAGAAGCAGCTGCTCTTCTGGGTTGGTTGGGCATTTCGTGTTTTGTGGCTGGCAGTGACCCTATGCGCCTCCATGAAACCCTCCTGCCTCTTGCAGAGACGCTGGGTGTTAACACCTACACGGGACCAGCTGTGTGCCTCGCTGCTTTAGCGTTTTCTGCATTTGCCTTGTAAGGTTTTGAGGCCAAGAATATGTTTGCACATATTTCAAGTAGCCACCTGAATTGCACTCTAGAGGGCAGGGCCCAGAATGAGAGCTGGGAGTTGGGACCTCAGCTGGGAAACTGGCGTCACATTCTGGGACTGCTGGAGTGCGGGGCCCGAGTGCATTACTCAGTGTTTGTGTACTCTGTCACAGGGGACTCTCCAAGTCATCCATGTGCATATTTCAAATATCCCAGGGCTGTGTGGTCTCTTAGCCCAGGCCCTGCCCATGCCCTGGTACGTGGAGGGACGGAGCTGGCTGGGGAGCTGAGCGTACACCCTGGGCGTTGGAGGTTGGTGGTGCCCTCACGGGAGTTCTCTGGAATGCTTCCTCCAGGACTCTAAGAAGCAGTATATGCAGTGTTTGTACCAGGGTGTATTGGAATCTTTTTTTTTTTTTTGAGATGGAGTTTCACTCTTGTTGTCCAGGCTGGAGTGCAGTGGTGCGATCTCAGCTCACTGCAACCCCCTCCTCCCAGATTCAAGCAATTCTCCTGCCTCAGCCTCCTGAGTAGCTGGGATTATAGGCACATGCCACCATGCCTGGCTAATTTTTGTATTTTTAGTAGAGACGAGGTTTCGCCATGTTGGCCAGGCTGGTCTTGAACTCCTGGCCTCAGGTGATCCACCTGCCTTGGTCTCTCAAAGTGCTGGGATTACAGGCATGAACCACCTCACCTGGCCTGTACTGGAATCTTGACTGAAAGAGAAAGGGATATGGGTAAGCAAAATGTGGTCTTTCCAAATAACAGACTATTGAGGCTGAAGAAGCCAGGGCCATCTGACACGTGCCGCAGATGGGTGAGCCTCACTGACATCAGCGCTGAGTGAAATAGGCCAGCCCCAAAAGAACAAAAGCTGTTCGTCAATCCACTCGTTTGAAACCCCTAGAGGAGTCAAATTCATGGAGACAGGAAGCAGAACGGTGGGCGCATGGAGGGGAGGCCGGGAGCTGTGCTGGATGGGGACAGTTTCAGTTTGGGATGATGAAAACGTTCTGGGAATGGAGGGGGAGAAGCTTGCACAGCCACTCAAATGCACTTACACTGTTGAGCTGCACGATTAGCATGGTTACATTGATACAGTTTATGTTCATTTTACCACAATTAAGAAAAATAAGAGAAAGACATATTTAATCAAATTTAGCCCATTAACATAACTCATGATATATACTAGATTTTTGTGTAGAAAATATAAGGTTATGTGTACATTTATTTTATTATGCTTATTTTTTTTTTGAGAGAGGGTTTCACTCTGCTGCCCAGGCTTCAGTGCAGTGATGTGATCTCAGCTCACTGCGGCCTCCACCTCCTGGGCTCAAGGGATCCTCCTGCCTCAGCCTCCCGAGTAGCTGGGACCACTTGGCTAATTTCTTTTAAATTTTTTTGTAGAGACAGCCTTACTGTGTTGCTCAGGCTGGTCTCAAACTCCTGGGCTCAAGCAATCTCCCTGCCTCAGCCTCCCAAAGTGCTAGGATTACAGGTATAAGTCATGCGCCCAGCCTCTGTGTGCATTTTAAAGAGGGTCATTTAATTAATGATGTCACTGTCTTACTGGATGCAAAATATATTTGTGTATTTTCAAAGAGGTGTGCAAACTACGAGATTCTTCCATCAATCTTTACAGATCACTCCTTGTTTTCTAGGAAGCTGACGGTTTAGTTCTGATAAATATTGATCATGGGAGCGTCACCTACTCCAAGTCTGCAAACAATAGTGTGGACATTCCTGATGTCCCCCTCCTGGCAGCCCAGACATTCATTCAGAGGTAACGGGAAACATTAATAGTATGAATTTCAGACCGTCTTTGTTCAGATTTTGTATTTGCCACTTTGAGTATCTTTTCCAATTTTATATAATTGATAGGTATTTTATGTATTATAATTTGGAAATTATTTGTGAATTTGTTTTTGAGATGGAGTCTCATTCTTGTTGGCCAGGCTGGGGTGCAGTGGGGCAATCTCGGTTCACTGCAACCTCTGTCTCCCAGGTTCAAGCGATTCTCCTGCCTCAGCCTCCCAAGTAGCTGGGATTACAGGCACCCAGCACCATGACTGCCTAATTTTTGTGTTTTCAGTTTTCACCATGTTGGCCAGGCTGGTCTTGAACTCCTAGCCTCAAGTGACCCGTCCAGCTTGGCCTCCCAAAGTGCTGAGATTACAGGCATGAGTCACTGCGCCCAACTGTGAATGTTTTTAAATAAAAGTGATTTGTCTTTATTCCAATATTGTCTAAATGTTAGTTCGAGTCAAGAGACAGTCACATTCCCCAGGAAACCTACCCAGCCTCTGTCCTGTGCCCCAGGATCCTGTGCCTATGATCCTTGAAGTTCCCTATCCATCCTTCATTCATTCATTCACTAGATGTGTATTGCATACCTGTCGTATACCTGGAATTGGGCAGGGCTTGCGTACTAATGGCAGGACAGCCATGACTCCTGTCCTGTGACTTTGTCAGTCTGTTGGGTTCTGACGGGCGTGGCCCATTCTCCCTGAGCTGGAAGTTTCCATTTCTTTCACTTTCTCTTCCTGGCACTATATGGGTACTTGTTTTTTTTTTTTTTTTTTTTAGGTGGAGTCTTGCTCTGTCACCCAGGCTGGAGTGCAATGGCGTGATCTTGGCTCACTGCAACCTCTGCCTCCTGGGTTCAAGCGATTCTCTTGCCTCAGCCTCCTGAGTAGCTGGGATTACAGGCGCCACCACCATGCCCAGCTAATTTTTTGTATTTTTAGTGGAGATGGGGTTTTACTGTGTGTTGGCCAGGCCGGTCTTGACCTCCTGACCTCGTGATCTGCTCGCCTCAGCCTCCCAGGGTGCTGGGATTATAGGCATGAGTCACCGTGCCTGGTCTGGTACTTTATTTTTTCACACCATTTTATAGTTTTATATTTTCTTTAATCTCTGTTACTTAACCTCATTGGCTTAGATCGGGCATCAGCAAACTTCTTTTAAGAAGGGTCAAATGATAAATATTTCAGGCTTTGGGGGCCCTGAGGTCTCTGTCGTGGTGAAGAGACTTAACAGGGACTTTGGTCAGGGGAGGGTGAGAGGAGGTGTAATTGCTAAATATGTCAAAACAGAGGTGTTGGGTCATCTTGGGTGTCACCCAAGCAGTGACTCATCTCCGGGGCCAGGGCTCCCTCGGGGTTCTCTGCAGAGCTCATTTTTCCCTTCAGCGTTTTATAAACTGACAGCAGGAGAGAGCAGATTGTGGGATCCAGCTGCAGTCAGGCCTAGTGCCATTTGTGGAGCTGATGCTGGTGGGAGGGGAGCGCTTGGGCTGTTTGTAAACAGCTGGGCTGTAGGAGTTGAGCTTCGCGTGAAGCCTGCGAAGCAGCCTGGATTCTGGTCAGCGGTCACCTTTCCTCTCTTCGCCTCTTTTGCCTTTGCGTTGTTGGCAGGTCAAATGAGGAGGGAGCTGAGAGCTGGGGGCGTGGGAAGGAGGAGGGCGGTTTCTGGCCTGGCTTTTCACCTGGCTTTTCCGATTTCTGACTCTTACCTTGGTATGGATTATTCCTTCTACCTGGAAGCTTTCTGCAAAATGTTTAGGAGAACTACCTTTTTTTTTTTTTGAGATGGAGTTTCGCTCGTTACCCAGGCTGGAGTGCAATGGCGCGATCTCGGCTCACTGCAACCTCCGCCTCTCGGGTTCAGGCAATTCTCCTGCCCCAGCCTCCTGAGTCGCTGGGATTACAGGCACACGCCACCATGCCCAGCTAATTTTTTGTATTTTTAGCAGAGATGGGGTTTCACCATGTTGACCAGGATGATCTCGATCTCTTGAACTCGTGATCCACCCGCCTCGGCCTCCCACAGCGCTGGGATTACAGGCTTGAGCCACTGCGCCCGGCCCCTTGTTTGTTTTTTTAAGAGACAGAGTCTTGCTCTGTCACCCAGGCTGGAGTGCAGTGGCATGATCTCAGCTCACAACAATCTCTGCCTCCCAGGTTCAAGTGATTCTCCTCCTTCAGCCTCTTGAGTAGCTGGGACTACAGCCACCTGCCAACACACCTGGCTCATTTTTATATTTTTAGTAGAGATGGGGTTTCACCATGTTGGTCAGGCTGGTCTCAAACTCTGACCTCAGGTGATCCATCTGCCTCGGCCTCCCAAAGTGCTTGGATTAAGGTGTGAGCCACCGTGCCGGGCCAGAGAACTACTTTTATTATTGTTCTTCCATCTTACAGAACTCCCAAAGGCCCTAAAGCTAAACGATGGTCCCGCAAAGGCAAGGTCTGTTTGTGTTTGCTTGGGCCGTGCAGTCGGGCTCTCCTCCCAGCCAAGGGCACCTGAGCAGCCATTCTGTTAGGACCTGTCCTCTGTGTGAACTTCAAAGGTGACACGTGCTCTCCCAATTGTTTTAGTTACTTTCTTATGAGCCACAGCTGCTTCCTGGAGTTTTCCAGTGTGGTATCGTGTAATAGAACTGACCTTTGTGAGACTGTGGTGGAGCTCTGAGCATTCCCAGGAAGGTGGCATTCCCGCCTGTGTCCTCATGTTCTTGTTAGAATTCGGGAATTAAACACACGGTGCAGAGGCTGGACCCCGCTTCGGCTGGAGCCCCCAGAATGGAGATGCAGGGTGGCGTGTATCCCACAGTCTCATTTTTGGAAGCTGTTTTATAAACACGAGCTAATCCGTGTGTCATGGGTGACCTGTCTATAAGAGGCCTCTGAGTTCACCGTACGGGCTGTGGGCTGTAGTGGGAGGGGTCTCCTTGAGGGGTCTGGAGTGCATTGTGCTTCTCTCTGAACATGGGCTTGTGTCCCTTGGGAGGGACAGGGCAGCCCCTTCCTTCCCCAGCTTTCCCCAGCACCCTGGGCTCTTGGTCACTCTCTGCACTGCTATCTTCGTCTCTGATGGAAGTCGCTGTCTCACTGGGCAGCAGGGACAGGGCCTCCAGCTCAGGGCTGTGCTTGGGTGAGGGAGGCATGGGGTTCCAGGGAGGGGACAGCCATCTCCTTCAGACCGCACTGTCTCTGCACCAGAAGATGTAGGAAGAGAAGCTGGCACTCCAGGCGGCATCTTAGCCCTTTTTACATGAGGAAAGTCATCAGAATTTCTTTCCCTGACATTCTGTGTGTTCTTCTGGATGAAAGGCCAGTTTGGTGCCGATAAACATCCCAGTTCTTGAGACCCCTCTAGGCAGGAGTAGTTGCCCAAGTCCCATGCGTCTGGTCAGCCAGGGCCGGGCTGGTCCCTCAGCAGCTGCTGCTCAGCACATTTGGAGAGAACACTGGTCCTGGCCCTGGCACCACCTGCCTGCTACCATCCCCTAGCGGGCCACGACACCCAGAATTCCGTTCTTCCTTTTTCCTGTCCCTGCCTCCAGGAGGGTCAGGCAGTCGCAGGGGCCTGTGGCCATGCACTGTTTTCATCACAGAGATGAAGACTGGCTCTTGCTGGCCTTGCTGACCTGGGCTGCACTGGGTCCAGCAAGCCCCCACCTGCCTCTTCCTGTCACATCTCAGGTTCCAGGTCATCTCCTGGGAGAACTCTTCTCCCCCCACTCAGTCTGACTGTCGTGTCTCTGTAGCCTGTCGCTCTGTGTTGCCTGATGTCTCTGCCTGACGCCCCGTTATCTCCTGTTTTCTTGGGTTGTCTGTTTTCCTGCTTCCTCCCACTCACATGGAAGTGTCATGCAGGCAGGCAGGGGCTTGGCCTGTGTCCACCACGCCTCCCCAGCACGCAGATCAGTGGATGGCATACCGTAGGTGCTCAGTAAATATGTGTGACCGGATACGTGTTGGTTCTGTTTATTTTGTATGTTTCCACCGTCCCTCTAGACATGCAGTCTTGAGTGGTGTTAGGAAGGCCCGGCGTCCAGTCTCACAGAGGCTCAGGGTTGACAGGTATCTGTGAGTTCCTGTGCCTGAGTGAGGCCCTCTGGATGAGTCAGTGGCCATCTCCTGGTGGGCCAAGAGTGCTGACACCTAGGACATTTGTTGCAGGGCACAGAGGGCCATTTGATCCTGCTTGGGCAGGAAGTGCAGAGGGGAGGCCATGAGGGAGCATGACTGTCCCTTCTAGGCAGCCATGAGTGACCTGTCAAGAGGCAGCCTCACCTGGAGCCCTTTGGTGTCCTAGAAGGGGGAGTGCCCTGACTGCAGTGCCAGGGCGGGTGATCTGGCCTGGGTGAACTGTGCGTAGTCCAAGTCAAGGCCTGTGTGAGTCCCTGTGTGGCGGCGAATCAGCTCTTCCAGTGATGTACTTTTAGTGACCACCCTGTCCCTCAAATTACTGATCTGTATTTGAGTCTGTGAAGTGTTCATTTACCTGGCGGGCTGTGTGCTGCTGGTGAGCGGCTGTGGCTGGCGGCACTGGGGCTGAGTCTGCTTTGGTCTGCCTCCTTCCAGGGTGCAGAGCCTCCAGCTCCACCACGAGCTGCACACCGCCCACCTCTGCTCCAGCACAGACCTGAACGAGGGCCGAGCCCACCGGCGGGCCTGGCAGCAGAAACTCAACTGCCAGATACAGCAGACCACCCTGCAGCTGCTCGTGAGCGTCTTCAGGTACGTGAGAGGACATTCCAGCGTCCAGGAAAGGGTAACCCGCTAGCCTCCCATTCCACGGGGATCGCGCGCCCCGCCCCAGCTGCCTGGCAAACATGAGCCGTCCCTATCCCTGCAAAAGCTTTTCTTGTGACTGTTACAATCAGCAAGCGTCTGGTGAGTTCGTTCTTTTGACTCTGACCCTGCTTGTGCCTTCCTAACACTCACACTCTCTCCTGCTGGTGACCGTGCAGGTGGCTGTTTTGGGATAGCCCTCTAGGGAGACTCGAATCTGAGACACCTGCGGGAAGCTGGTCACTCTGGCCTGTGCGGTTCCGGGCTCTGGGTCAGTCTGCAGAGGGCTCTGTCCCGAGAAGCCTGCATCCAGGGGCTAATGAGGGACAGACGGGCCATTTTGATGTGACTCAAGCTAGATAATGAAACCAGGTATGAGAGAGCCACAGGAGGATGCAGACTCAAGATGCGCCTATTAGAAAGTTCTCCTTCTCCTCATACCAGTAACTGTAGCATCAGACACGCCCCATGTGCTCTTCCTTCCGCAGCACGTGAGCTTGCGGGGAAGTGGACGAGTCAAGGTTGTTTATTTCAGTGTGATACAGCACAGGTACTGAGCTGCTGTTTCAGGCCCACACATGCAGTCAGAAGGAATACGTGGCAAAACGATAGCTTCATAGAGAAGTACTTTTTGGTGCGAAAGCCTTTGGGCCCCCTCTTTCTCCCACCCTTTCTCCTTTTCCCTGGCAGCATTCTTCCTCTCCTTTTCGCTGTTTGCCCCTGAGTCCAGCAACAAAGGAGGCACCCCTGATGCCAGCCTCGTCTGTTCTTGAGGGGCCTTCCGCTTTGGGAGGGGGTTAGCACAGAGCCTGCTGGCTTGATAGTGCTCTGCGTAATTATTTAAAAATGGAGATTTGAATGGCCTTTTTTGTTTTGGGCACTTGGTTGCCCAAGCTGGAGTGCGGTGGTGCAGTCTTGGCTCACTGCACCTGCCGCCTCCCAGGTTCAAGCGATTTTCCTGCCTTACCATGCCAGGTAGCTGAGACTACAGGCGCACGCCACCACACCTGGCTAATTTTTGTGTTTTTAGTAGAGATGGGGTTTCGCCATGTTTCCCAGGCTAGTCTCCAACTCCTGACCTCACGTGATCTGCCCACCTTGGCCTCCCAAAGTGCTGGGATTATAGACGTGAGCCACTGCACCCGGTCTGAACAGCCTGTTCTTTTGATGTATTTATTTGCATAAAGCGAATAACATATTAGGAAAAAATGGAATAGTGTATCACAGACAGGTGATATTATCTCTGCTCAAAGAGGCATAATTAGTGTGGTCCTAAATATGTTGTTTTCCTTTTGTTCTTTGAAGATGAAATGTTGTATGAACAAGTATTTTTTTTCTTAATATGTTGCAAGCTCAATTAGTTGACAGAAAAGCAGGATAGTCCCAGCCCCTGGAGAGGCTGAGGTGGGAGGATCCCTTGAGGCTAGGAGTTTGAGACCATCCTGGACAACATAGCAAGATCCTGGCTCTTTAAAAAACAGAAGCAGAAAATATGATTGCAGATGATAAAATGTTATTTCCCCTAGATGAAATCGTTTATTCTCTCAAGGAAAACACTGAACACATTATGTACCAAACATGCCCTGTAAGCTTATTCGTTCTACTTGTATACTACTTTAGATCTGGGAGATCATGTGCTAAAATCTTGATGAGTTTATAACATGATCTGAGGAAATCAGGTACAAAAAGGTGAAGTGGGCCAGGGCGCGGTGGCTCACACCTGTAATCCCAGCACTTTGGGAGGCTGAGGCGGGCAGATCGCCTGAGGTCAGGAGTTTGAGACCAGTCTGGCCAATGTGGTGAAACCCCATCTCTACTAAAAATACAAAAATTAGCTGGATGTGGTGGTGTGCACCTGTAGTCCCAGCTACCTAAGAGGCTGAGGCAGGAGAATCGCTTGAACCTGGGCAGCAGAGATTGCAGTGAGCCAAGACTGTGCCGCTACACTCCAGCCTAGACTGAGACGACGTCTAAAAAACAAAGAGGTGAAGTGACTTGTCGGGGGAGGCTGGCGGCGAGCTAGGCAGGACTTGGAGTCTGGCCGCCCCTCTGGGCTCCCACCTGGAACCCAGTTTCATGTGTGGGAACTGAAACTGATTTTTGTGTCTTAATTTGCATAAGGAACTAGCGGGCTGGAGGAAGGTGAGAACAGGAACACTGCCTCCGGGAGCTTTATTCTAGTTGGGGGAAATTTATGTGTGACCACAAAGTACATCCATCTCGTATCACTGTGGTAATCAGTAATCTTTCTGAAGAACAGGGCTTTTTCAAAGTTTGTATTTCTCGTCACCATTTTTCTGCTGCTAAAGGTTGTATGTTCTTCGTGTATTTAAGAATGTTGTAGCACTCAGACTATCTTTCTCTTTGTTAGGGATGTGAAGAATCATTTAAATTATGAACACAGAGTCTTCAATAGTGAAGAATTTCTCAAAACCAGGGCTCCAGGGGACCATCAGTTTTATAAGCAGGTGAGAGCTGTGGGATTTGGGTGTGACTGTGTGTGTTCACTCTGTTATTCTGCTCTGTATTTAAAGACTTTTCACAATAAATTTTCTCAAATGTATCAGTTTTCCAAAAAGTTTATTTTAGCATGTTTTGATCATGTGGCTCTCTCTCCCTTTTTAAAGTCAGCTTTTAAAGAGTATAATATACTTATGGCTGGGCATGTTGGCTCACACCTTTAATCCCAGCACTTTGGGAGGCCAAGGCGGGTGGATCACCTGAGGTCAGGAGTTTGAGACTGGCCTGGTCATTGTGGTGAAATCCCGTCCCTACTAAAAATATACAAAAATTAGTTGGGTGTGGTAGTGCACCTCTGTAATCCCAGTTACTCAGGAGGCTGAGGCAGGAGAATTGCTTGAACCCAGGGGGCGGAGGTTGCATAGAGCCAAGATGGTGCCATTACACTCCAGCCTGGGTGACAGAGCAAGATTTTTCTCAAAAAAAAAAAAGACTATACTTTACCTAAAATACGGCCATCTTAAGAGTGTGGTTTGGTGGATTTTGACACATGTACCTATCTGTATCACCACTTCCTCAACCTGGACATAGAATGCTACCATCGTCCCAGTCAGCCCCCTCCCTCCCCAGGTCCCGGCAACCTTACCCTAACCCCGTGGACGGTTTGCCCATCTCCGAGGCTCGTGTCGTGCGGTCCCGTGGTCTGCGCTCTGTCGGCCTCTCTCCTCAGCCTCCTACTTTGGACTGAGCTGGGCTACTGTGTTTCAGCGGCAGCTCCTTTTTTTGTAGGAATGTCCCGTGGTTGGGACAAAGTGCGCTTTGTTCTGTCCACCTGCTACTGAGCATTTGGGTTGTTTCTGTTTGTGACTATTACAAAAAAAAAAAAATCACCCTGGGGGTGTTGCCGGGGCAGGTGACTGAAGCTGCCTGAAGAGCCCCTTGGTCCTTTTGGAGTTTGTTTTTACAGCTTTGGGGTGGGCCAGGAGCAGCCTTTTTCCATGGCTGGTTTCTAGCCTGGCCCATCTGCTAAGTGATGTGCGCCCCCTCATGCCTCCTGAATGGCCCGGGGTCAGCAGGGCCCTCCGTCCTGGCTGTTGGGAACGTGACTGGCCCTCTGCCCTTTGTGAGCTTGGAGACTTGGTTTGCTTACAGCTTCCCAGTCATTCTTTGTCTGGTTTTATGCAGTTTCGCCGTATGTCTGGGCATCGGGGTATTCAGCAAAGTCTTGGGGAGCCTGATGCAGCCTCTGGGAGCTCCCGGATTCATCCCTTCCTCTCCAGAGCCCTGCCCGAGGCTTCCAGGGGCAGCAGCCTCCAGGAGCTCTCTCCACGCCCTTGGTGCTGGAGCCAGCCACGAGCCTTGTCCAGCATCTGAAAAACAGTGGTTTCCTCCTTATGATGGAGTTTCCTCATAGCTTATGTCAGGAGGGTCTGTCTGAGTCTTGCGTACTGCCTTACGGCCAGAAGCGTGTGTCCACCTCGTTTAGCTCTGATGAAATATGCTTTTGTTCACGGTGTGGGTATGTGGGACCCAGGGGACCCAGTGTTTGAATGTATGACAGCCATTTCTTCTGTGTGCATGAGGAACAGCAGAAAGCCCTTGAGTTCATTCACTCAGCCAGCGCCCACTGGGTGTGTGTGAGGGGTGGGGCCCAGTTCCGTGCCAGGAGGCTTGGGGGCTTTGGAGCGGGGGCCTGGGGCATTGGCGCAGCCCAGTGACTGGCCCTTCTGTCTTTTCCAGGTCTTAGACACCTACATGTTCCATTCTTTCCTTAAAGCCCGGCTCAGTCGGAGGATGGACGCCTTCGCCCAGATGGACCTTGACACCCAGTCGGAGGAGGACAGGTGCTTCCCCGTCGTGTTTTGGACCCACCGTTCTTTGGGAATCACAGTGCTCAAGGACCTCAGTTTTATTAAAATGAGTAAACGAGAAAGCAGGAAACGCCTTGTGCTTAGAAACTCATGATGAACTGGGCGGTAGCTAGGAAGCTCTCCTCTCTACGTTTGTACTTCTTCTTTTTTTTTTTTTTGAGATGGAGTCTCGCTCTTGTTGCCCAGGCTGGAGTACGATGGTGTGATCTCGGCTCACTACAACCTCTGCCTCCGTTGTTCAAGTGATTCTCCTGCCTCAGCCCCCTGAGTAGCTGGGATTACAGGCACCCGCCACCACGCCTGGCTAACTCTGTATTTTTAGTAGAGATGGGGTTTCTCCATGTTGGTCAGCTAGTCTCGAACTCTTGACCTCAGGTGATCCACCTGCCTCAGCCACCCAGAGTGCTGGGATTACAGCCATAGTCACCGTGCCCAGCTTTTTTTTTTTTTCTTTAAGACAGAGTCTTGCTCTGTCACCCAGGCTGGAGTGCAATGGTGCAACCTTGGCTCACTGCAACCTCTGCCTCCTGGGTTCAAGTGATTCTTCTGCCTCAGCCTCCCAAGTAGCTGGGACTACAGGCACCCACCATCATGCGTGGCTAGTTTTTGTATTTTTGTAGAGATGGGGTTTTACCATGTCAGCCAGGCTAGTCTCGAACTCCTGACCTCAGGTGATCCACCCACCTCGGCCTCCCTGAGTGCTGGGATTCCAGGTGTGAGCCACCGCGCCCGTTTCTACTTCTTGAGGGAATGCTTGAAGCGTGCCGGATGTTAGCATGCTCCCCGGGGTTTGTGGTCCTGCCTCTTCCTCGGTGCTGCCCCCCCATCTCCTCTCTTCACCCCCCATCCTCAAAGCCTGCTTAGTTTTCTGTCTCTTCCTTGCTGCTTTTCCTGAGCCCCTTCCACACATGTCCACTGCAGACAGGGCTCTGTTGGCTTACACTGCTTTCTTCTGGGCATGCATCTGGGTCCCTCTGAGGCCGCACATGGTGAGATTTGGGCAACATGTTCTTATACTCTGTTTCCAGTGGTGTGCGAGGGCATCACCTGCTCTCCATGACACTGGGAAAAGTGCTTCGTTTAGGCTTATTCTTTAATCATGATTGTGTCTGTAAAGTAAAACGTTGCATTCCCTACCGCAGAATAAATGGAATGCTGATAAGTCCAAGGAGACCGACTGTGGAGAAAATCGCCTCTCGGAAGTCCTCACCCCTGCACATCCCTCACAGGCGCATGGTGGTGAGCATGCCCGACCTTCAGGACATCGCCACGCCCGAGCTGGCACCCAGGAACTCCTCGCTTCGGCTGACAGACACTGCGGGCTGCAGGGGCAGTGGTGCAGGTGAGGGCTGCCCCCTTCCCCGCGGTGCTGTCCCTCCATTCCTGCATTGCAAGTCATTAAGCAAAACTGCAGCTCGTTTCAGGGGAGGGAGGGGCTTGCTCTAGTTATTTGAAATGTTTAGAATATTCATTTTGTCAACTGCATGCATTCTAGAAAGTGATTTCTTGTCTGTATTTTCTGCCACCCAGTGTCACTGCTAAGGATAACGGCTCTGCACAGTTTGGCATCCTTCACAGGCCTAGGCTGTGCATGTCTGCACGTGTGGGTTACATGATGTATCATACACACATGTGATGGGATGCAGGGAGTGCCAGGCACTTTCTAGAGCCGGAGCATGAAGGAGCTGAGTGCCCTGCCCTCATGGAGCTGGCATTCTGGGACCAGGGTTAAAGTGAGCAGGGCCAGGGGTGCGGAGGGGGCTGTGACTGTGGGGACATTTCCGCAGAGACGGGAGCACATGGAGAGGCCGAGCCGCCTCGAGCCTTCTGGGGGAGGTGCACCCTGACCCTCATGGCTGGGAGAAACTGTCGGGAGGCCGTGACCCCCGGGCAGCTGCTGCTGCTGTCTCGGGCCCAAGCAGCAAGTACTGTGTCATTTCTCCTGATCACTGTGCTGGAACCCCAGGAGCTGCATGCGTGAAACCTCGATGACCCCCAGGGCTGTGGTCTAGCAGAGGCAGAGTGAGTGACAGGCCACATTGCCTTCATCATGTGAGCACTGGAGGCTGCTGCGGGGCCCAGGCCTTCTGCCCCTGGCTGTGTGACCCTGGGCAGGCGACTTCATCTCCCTAGTCCTGTGGTTCCTCTTCTGAACACCTGTCAGTCTGCCCTGCAAATGCCCTGTGCCCACTTGCCCTGAGAGTGTGCTCTGCTTTCCTTGTCCTTGCAACCTTGCCCTGGACCCCCCGTGGCCCCGTCCTGCTCTCTTGGCCCACTGGAGCTCCCGTAAGAAGAGGAAACCCAGCACCCAGTTGGCCCTTAGGTAACAGTTATTGAAGGAGCCAGTGTGAGACACACACCTGGGTTACGGTTGGCTCAGGCACTTAGTTGGTGTGCCCCTGGGACAAGTAACCCAGGCCGTGGCAGCCTCAGTTTCCACATGGTAGAATGGGACCGTAATGACAGTGCCCTGCTCCTGAGTTGTCTTTATGGTAAGTGAAACTATTGTTCTAAAGCGCTGAGTCCTGCCTAGCAAATGCATCTTGGCTTAGGCTGAGCTTGATCCTCACGTGAGGCTTCAGCACCCGGTACTGCAATTGTGTTACTAGTTGTAGCAAATGAAATTGTTCAGGAATGCTAGCCGCTGCTTTCTGTGGAGTATGGTGGAAGCAAAATGAGGGTTCTCCATGCCTCCTGGGGGGCGGGCTTGTGGAGCGTTCTGGAGAGAACACACCTGTTCTCATTTGACTCTCCATCCAGGGAAGCCTCGTCCTGACAAGATGGCGTGACAGGTACAGCTGTTCATTTTTAAGGTCTGTGCTAACGGTCTCCTTCTTTCCCCTTAATGTTTTAGTTCTGAATGTGCCGCCCAAGTCCACATACATGTTCAAGATTCCAGAGATCCACTTCCCGCTGGTGGGCCAGTGCGTGCAGGCCTACCACGCTGACCTCGCCGCCCTGCTGACCAAGGCCATGGGCCTTCTGGCTCCTGACAACTCTCTACTCCTGGCCCGCTATTTCTACCTCCGAGGGCTCGTTCATCTGATGCAGGGACAGCTGCTGAACGCCCTCTTGGACTTCCAGAATCTGTATAAAACAGACATAGGGATCTTTCCCGCTGATCTGGTGAAGAGGACAGTAGAGTCCATGTCTGCTCCTGAGCGGGCGCAGGCTGAGCGGGCGCCAGAGCTGATGAGGCTCATCAGCGAGGTCCTGGACAAGCCGCACGAGGCCTCGAAGCCGGACGACCACGTGAAGAACTTCGAGCTGCCCAAGAAGCACATGCAGCTGGGCGACTTCGTGAAGCGGGTTCAGGAGTCGGGGATCGTGAGGGACGCCAGCACCATCCACCGGCTGTTCGAGGCCCTGACTGTGGGTAAGAGGAGCCTGGCACCAGCACACATTTTATTTCTTTACGTAGAGACAGGGTCTGGCTCTGTCGCCCAGGCTGGAGTGCACTGCGCAATCACAGCTTACTGCAGCCTCCACCTCCTGGACTCAAGCAGTCCCCCCACCTCAACATCCCGAGTAGCTGTGACTACAGGTACCCGACACCGTGCCTGGCTGATTTGTGTATTTTTTGTAGAGACAGGGTTTCAATGTGTTGTCCAGGCTGGTCTCTGAATCCTGGGCTCAAGTGATCCACCCGCCTTGGTCTCCCTAAGTGCTAGGATTACAGGCATGAGCCACCGTGCCTGGCTGATATAGTTTACTTTATTTTTGAGACAGTGTCTTGCTCTGTCGCCCAGGCTGGAGTGCAGTGGTGTGATCTCAGCACACTGCAACCTCGGCCTCCTGGGTTCAGTGATTCTCCTGTCTCAGCCTGCCGAGTAACTGGGATTACAGGTACCTGCCACCATGCCCAGCTAATTTTTATATTTTCGTAGAGACAGGGTTTCACTATGTTGGCCAGGCTGGTCTAGAACTCCTGACCTCAAGGTGATCCGCCTGCCTTGGCCTGCCAAAGGGCTAGGATTACAGGCATGAGCCACCGAGCCCGGCCCCATATATTTTAAATACTTAATGACAATGGTCAGGTGACAGCAGCGGTGAGGTAAGCCACCAGCAGGTGACAGGCAAGATTACTGCAGCGCCATGGGCTTTACTGTTGCTCTGGGCACTTACCTGGGAGTGGGAGCGGTTGGCAGGGCCCCTAGGCAGTGTTCCTATCGCTGAGATCTTAAATGCATCCCCAGGCTGGGCTCTGAGCCTTGCTCTGCATGGGTGGAAGGGGTATAGAATTGCTGATGGGAGATGAAGACACTGCTTGTCCGGGGGTATTGCTCAGCATCTAGATAGAGCCGTGGTCTCGGCTGAAATGCTGCAGACATTTGCAAAAGCAGGGCCACGGGACAAATGCCGGGGTCCTGCGCCCAGAGGTAACACCTGCTGCGTTTCCCATGGACTGCAGTGGCCTTGTGCTTAGACCCAGCTGGGGCCCCATTTGCCTCCCTCCCTAGAGGGAGCCACTGTCCCAAGCTGGAGCTTGCTTTCCTGGCCATGGTTTTATGCATTTACTACAAATGGATGCACCTGACACAGTATCTCTGTTTCATGAGTTTAAGCACCAAGTTGGGAGAGTGGGAATTGCCACCCAGATGTCTGAGTTTGCACGTGCCGTGTTCGTCGTGGTGTTTTTGAGATGTATGTGTCGCTCCACATCCACGGAGTTCGTTCGCTTCCGTCACTGCCCGTGCCGTCATGTGTAGGAATGACTGTCCACCCATTTCACCATCAGTGGTGTCCGGCAGCGTCACCTGTTCCAGCACGGACACAGTGACTGTCCCCGCGCCTGTTTGCTTGAGTGTGTGCGGGTCGGTTCCTCTCAGATGTGGACCCAAGGCCTACTTTGTGATGTGAGAACTTCATCCAGGCTCTGAGGCTGCGTCTCCATCCTCCAGGAAGCACACATTCTGTCTCAGCTCTTACCCGACGTGTGCGATGATGTCACACGGATGTCACGAACATCCGCTCACGGGCCCGGGGGAGCAGTTGTGGTTTCTGTTCTGTGAGCTGCGTTTTCATGGTCTGCCCATTTTTATCTTGGGCTGCTTCTCCTTAAGGACGTGTAGGGCTTTTCGTGCCCTCAGGAAAAGCTGTCCGGGTGACAGGCCTGCCAGGTCGCTTTTCCAGCTATGAAACAAGCGCCGTGGAATGTGAGTTCCTTGCTTTTCTTGCCTGTGGGCTCTGAGGGATGTCAAGGCCAAGTGTGTGTGTGTGTGTGAATGCGTGTGAGTGTGAAAATGTGAGTGTGTGTATATGTGTGTCTGCACTATCCCTGCATGGTGAAGCATGTGTGTAAGTGTGTGTGTGTGTGCGCCTGTACCTCTCCCTGCATGGTGAAGCGTGTGTGTGTGTGCATGTGTGCACATGCATGTACCTCTCGCTGCGTGAAGCGTGTGTGTGCCTGTACCTCTCCCTGCGTGAAGCATGTCTGTGAGTGTGTGTGTGTGTGTGTGTGCGCGCGCGCGCCTGTAC